CATGTGAAGCTGAGAAGTGTATTCTGATGCAGTTGGGTGGAACACTCTGTAAAGGTCTACTAAGTCCATATGTTCACAAGTTTGGTTAAGTTCTGTTGTTTCTTTCCCAATTTTTGGTCTAGTTGATCTATCTCTTTGTGACAATGCTGTGTTAAAGTCCCCTATTATGATTGTGTTGCTACTTATTTCATTTTTCATGCCTGTTAGAATTTGTCTTTTATAGGTGGGTGCTCCTGTATTTAGTGTATAGATGTTTATGATTGTTATCTCTTTCTTTTGAAGCTTCCCCCTCACAAGTATGTAGTGACCTTTTTCTCTCTTTTGATTGTTCTTGGTTTGAAATGCATGTTGTCTGCAAACAGAATAGCTATACCCTCTTTTTTCTGGGTTCCTGTCACATGGAGTATTGTTTTCCATCCTTTAATTTTCAGTGTATGAATTTCCTTTTGAGTTAAATGTGTTTCTTTTACAGCATATAGTTGAGTTTTGTTTCCTGATCCACTCTGCTAGTCTGCTTCTTTTGGTTGGTGCATTGAGACCATTTACATTGGTGGTTATAACGGATATGTACTGGCTTATCTTTGTCATGCTATGTTCCTGCTGTTGGATCCTCCTTTTTCCCACTGTTGAATTGCTTGCTCTGCTTGGTGGTTCCTTTCTGTTGTTGTTCTTGAAGTTGTGGTCTTTTTTTTTAAATCTCTTTCTAGAGTATTTTTTAGTATGCTTTGTAGGATTGGCTTGGCACTCATGAATTTCTTCAGTTGTTCTTTATCAAGAAAATATTTTATTTCTCAGTTAAATTTGAAAGATAGTTTTGCAGGGTACATCAATCTGGGTTGGAAGTTGTTTTCTTTCTTTACTTCACTCCAGGCTCTTCTTGCCTTGATGGTCTGTGTTGAAAAATCTGCCATGATTCTGATAGGCTTTCCATTATAGGTGATCTGTTTCTTTTCTCTAACAGCTTTTAATGTTCTGAGCTTTTGTTGAGGTTCTGGGATCTTGATCATTATGTCTGGGTGTAGATTTATTTTAGTTATGATTAACTAGAGTTCTATATGCTTCACTCACCTGGATGTCCGATTCTTTTACCACGCCTGGGAAATTTTCTGCTATTATTTCTGCAAATAGTCTTTTTATGTCATTTGTGTTGGCACCTGCTGTTTCATTAATACCTATTAATCTGACATTGTTCTTCTGTGCTTCGTCTTGCAGTCGTTGAATTGTTATTTCCTGATTCCTTGTTGTTTTTAAGAGATCCCTTCTTTCACGTTCATTAGTAGCAATGCTGTCTTCAAGGTCTGAAAATGTATCTTCAGCTTCATTCATTTGGTTTTGCAAGCTTTCAGTGGAATTTTTAATTTCCTGGATATCTGTTTGCATCTGTTTCATAACTTTTAGTTCTTTTCTGTATTGTTTACTGAAGGTTTCCATGAATTGTCTATGCTCTTCTATTTTCTTGTCAAAGTCAACTTTGGATATACTGAACATTTCTTTCACTATTGCTGTCATTTCTTTTTTCACCAGAGACATTATTTCTGATCTGATGTCTTCTATGGCCTGATGGAGTTGTTTCTT